GCCTTGGTGTTATCAGCACCGCACTCTCCCGAGTGAGCCACGGGCCGGCCCAAAAAAAAAAATTAACCATTTTGAAGCGATAATTCAGGGCTGGCCAGTTAGCTTAGTTGGGTGGAGCGTGGTGCTGATAACACCAAGGTCCAGGGTTTGATCCAGTACTGGCCACCCACCCAAAAAACAAAAATCAAGCGATAATTCAGTCGCATTTAGTACCTCCACGATGTCATGCAACTGCCACCTCTATCTATTTCTAAAACATTTTTATCACTGCAGACGGAAATCCCACATCTGTTAAGCAGTTTCTCTCCATTTCCCCCGCCCCAGGCCCTACTAACCACAGAACTGCTTTCTTGTCCCGTCCCGCGGGATATTCAATGCAGACCCTGGAGGGGGGAGTGGGAATTGGATGGGACAAGAGACGCGAGAGATGGGAGACAAGACAGTATTCTGATCAAGTCTCGTTTATTGATTCTTAGGTTACATCTTATATAGGAAAAAGCAAGCATATTGTAAGCAGTTAGGAATGCAGGAATACGATAAGATCTTGAGAAGAAACAAAGTCAGAAAATCTCTGATGCGAAGAAGCCCCCAATCTTTACAAGAAAGCAGAAACTTGGAAGGAGATAAGAGGTCACTCTTGATTAGACTTGCATAGCCAGGAGCACAGCGTCCCAGGCACAAACAGATTATGAGGCAGATATCACGTAAGCATGGCCATTTGGCGTAAGCAGGTTGTCACGCAGGCAGGGTCACACAAGGAGGGGTGTGGGGCTACAGGCTCCCAACACTTTCTGTCTCTGTGGATTTTCCTGTTCTGGACATTTCACATAAATGGAGTTAGTTCAGATCCCCTTGCAGACCAGCTGCCAAAAAAAAGAAAAAATGCACGTTCGTGGAATCAAACAGTAGCTGCCTTTTGTGTCTGACCTCTTCTACTCAGCATAATGCTGATGACGTCCTTCCAGGCTGCAGCGTGTGTCTGTACTGCATTCCTTGTTAAGGCTGAATAATGTTTCTTGCATGGATCAGCCACGTCTTGTTTTTCCATTCATCTGCGGACAGAGATTTGGGCCGTTTCCTCCTTTTGGCTGCTGTGACTAGTGCCGACTAGAACATGCGTGCACATGTACCTGCTAGGGCCCTGTTTTCAGTTCTTTAGGTACATGTCTAGGAGCGGAATTACCACGTCATGCAGTCGTGCCTTATTTAACTTTTCGAGGAATTTGCCAAATCAGCATTTTCTTGATGAACTTTGTTGAGTGCTTGGTGACTTTTTGTTTCTTTCTTTCTTCTCGAACTGTTTCACCTCCCAGAAGCCACCCCCGAGGTCTCCATTGCCTATGAAGTCCTGGAGGTTTTCCCCAAAGGCCGCCACGTTCTCATAACGTGCAGCTCACCCTGGGCAACCCCTCCCATCACCTACTCCCTCTGGGGGAGCCAGGACGTCGAGGTGGCCAGGAAGGTGGTGAGCACCCACAGCCCAGCCTCCTTCAGCATCAACATCACACTCAAGTCCAGGCCAGACCTGCTCACCTACTCCTGCCAGGCAGCCTCCACCTTGGGTGCCCCCGTGGCCAGTGCCAGGCTGCAGATGTACTGGGAGCTGTGGGCCAGTGAGTCGTGGGTCGTGGCAACAGGAGGCACGTGGGGTGCAGATAAGTGGGGAGCTCCTGGGGGTGCGACTGTAGAGTCTGGGGGACTGGGGTTAGAGAGGGCCAGGGCGCGAGGGCAGGAACGAGGACAGGCTGCCCTCTTCAAGGCCACTTCCAGTGAGTGCCACGGGACCCGGTCATAGGGCATGTCCCATCCTGGCTATAGGCCCTCAGGCTGCAATCTTCTGTCAGGGGCCTGAGGTCATAGATGGAAAGCACCCGAGGGCTGAAGTTTCCAAGGCTGGGCCCTGACTTGTGGAGCTGGGACCTCAAGCTGATAAACTGGGCACTTTTTGCGTGATATCTCCTTTGATCTCCAGGTTCTGGGTCTGTAGATGTAGAGATCAAAGCTCTTGGAGGTTGTCCCAGGCCGAGGGCTTGCAAGCAGCAAAGGCTGATTTCAAACCCCTCTCCGTTTAGCTCCAAACCACGCATTTTTCCCATTTCCATCTTGATCTTAACTCAGGTATCCTTCTCAGTGGGAGCCATGAGGTGTGGGAACCAGGAAGTGTTGCCTGCCCTGTGGTGGGACCACGATCCCCCACCATTCCTTGCCCCTCAACTAAGAACACGAGGAAACAGCCTCAGGCGGGAGAGCCCAGGGTCTGGAGCCCAGGAGGGCGAGGGTTAAAATCCCTACACTTACTGGCTGTGGGGTTTTGGGCAAGTCACTCAACCTCTGGGCCTAAGTTGCTTCATCTGCAAAACAAAGAAAATAATAGGACCTACCCCAGGGGGTATAGAAAGGATGAAATGAAAGCTTTTAGTAGGTGGCAAGAAAAAAGCAAGGGGTGGTGGTTGTTACTAATCAGTAAGGATCTTTAGCGCATCAGGCCTAAGGCCTGGGGAATTCCAGAATCTTGAATCTTCTAAGGGACAGTTCTTGTCCTGAAGGAGTTTGCTTTCCAATAAAAGAAACAAGACTGAAAGGATATAATTAGGGTTGCCAGATTAATTTTGCATAGGACATACTTACACTAAAAAATTACTTATCTCTTATCTGAAATTGAAATTTAACTGGGTGCCACGTATTTTTATTTGCTAAGTCCGGCAACCCGAAATACACTACACACGAATAAACCCAAATGTGAAATTGTGTGGTACACACTGCAGGAAGGATAGAAGCAGGTGCAAGGAGAAAGGGGTACTCCAGAGGGCTGCCTGGAGAAGGTGGCAGTCACAGCTCAGCCTCCAGGCTCATGAGGCATTCTGCAATGAGGAGAACTTACGTGGGGGGAGTAGGGTTAAAATCTCCCAGCCACGAGCTGGCTGGTTAGCTCTGCCGGTTACAGCACCGGCACGGTGTTGTAAAACCAAGGTCAAGGGTTCAGATCCCCGAACTGGCCAGCCCCCCCAAAATAAAAAAATCTCCCAGCCATTCCCGTATTACCTTTTCCTACCCTGCCAGAGCCAGTATCCCAGCTGCAGGCTGACTTCACCCTGCGGGACAGAGGGTCAGGCCCTAGGGCAGAGATGTCCTGCCAGGCGTCCTCGGGCAGTCCACCCATCACCTACAGCCTGGTCGGGAAGGATGGGCACATCCTCATGCAGCAGAGATCACCCCACGGGCAGCCTGCCAACTTCTCCTTCCCACTGACCCAGACGTCGGGCTGGTTCCAGTGCCAGGCTGAAAACAATGTCAATGTCCAGCTCAGCGCCCCCATGCTGGTGCCCCCAGGTGAGAGGGCCCTTCCATTTCCGGAGTGGTAGCTGATACCTTGGGGCTGGGAGGGTGGATCTTGCTAGAGAGTCCAGAAGGGAGGCTGGTGGAAGGTGGAACAGCTCTGCCCGGGTCCTGCCAAGAGCAGGAAGGGCACCATGAGGCAACCCTGCTTACCCTGGCCCTACCTAAAGGCCTGCCACCTCTGCCTCCTGCACAGGGGAGCTGCCTCAGGAACCCATCTTCATGCTGGCTGGTAGCATCGCCTCCATTGCAGCGATCGCCTCTGGGATACTGGGTGGGGCTGTGCAGACCAGGTAGGAAATGGGTGCTGGATGCTGGGGAGGAGCCAGAGTTGCTGGTGACTGGTGTGGACCAACCTGTCTGGGGAGCAGTGGACAGTGAGCTTGTAGGGCAGGGCTGCCACCAGGGCAAAAAGGTCATACTGCGTATGCACAACTTGAAGATGTTTATGATGGGCCTACCATGTGCCAAGTGCCTGCTGAGGCTTGTGCCTTTGTGACTTTAATTGACCCATGCTCCCAGCTGCCCTGCAATGGAGACAGCTGACCTCTGGGTGGGGCCTCTCCTATGTTCCCTATGGGGTCTGAGAAGGGATGCTGGACAATGCCTCCCAGGGACCAGGGTGAGCCAGCAGCTCCTGCCCTCCAAGGGAACCACATAGGTCAGTCTTTCCCAGGTGGCAACAGAAGGAAGAGGCTGAGTCTTCTGAGGGCCTCTCTCCAAGGCCATCGCTTCACTGACATGTAAAATGACCAGGGCCTCTGTGTTGTCCAGCCCCAGACACTGCAGGCTTCTGCAGGCTCCCCCTGTCTGGCCTCCTGGAATTTCTCACCTAGCTTGGTTTTAAAGGCACCGCTGTGTCCTGGTTCTCCCCTCCTCCCCTCCCCTGTGGCCAGCCCCTTCAGTTTTTATTTTTTTAGGCAGGTGGCTGGTACAGGAGTCCAAACCCATGACCTTGGGGTTGGTTATAAGGCTGTACTCAAACCAACTGAGCTAACTGGCCAGCCCCTTCAATGGTCTGTGACACTCTCCTTGTCTCACCTCTGGGTCCCTTCAGACTCATGGATGAGCTATGTCACCTCTTTGAGCCTCAGTTTCCCCTTCTGTAAAGTGGGGAACAGTGACCTGGCTCCCACTCACCACATGACCAGGGGCCAGGGCTTGCCTTCTTGGTGATTCGGCACCCCCTTCATTTAGTGGGGTGAGTAGGCCCCACACCTCCCCTCCTGCGGGGCTCTGATGCACTGGGTACCATAAAATCCCCAGTGGCCTCGGAGGGGGTGGCTGAGAGGTGAGCTTGCCTGACCCGGAGTCTCAACTCCTTTGTCATCAAGGTTGTGACCAGGAGACACCAGCTTGGCAGACTGCCCCCAGGAGCACCCCACTCCTGGCCTTGCTGCCCTGCAGAAGGACCCACCGTTTGAATGAAGAAAAGCCTGCGGGAGGCAATGGGGAGATGTAGGTCAGAGGTGACAAAGTAGCAGACATGTGGATGAACACGTCCAGGGATCTAATGTGCAGCCTGAGGACTGTCGGTAGCAAGAGCGTACTGTATTTGGGATTCATACTAAATGAGTACGTTTTAGCTGCTCTTTCCACAAAGACAAAAAAGTGGAAAATGTGTGAGATAACGAATATGCTAATTTGCTTCACTGTGGTAACCTTTTTACTATTTATATGTATCCCATAATGTCATGTTGTATACCTTAAATATACATAATAAAATCTATTTTAAAAAAAGAAAAGCCTTGACAGCAGGGATTCTTGGAGCCCTGGTGGCCTTCAGCAAACACACATGGTGTTTATTTGAGGATTTTCCGAGGTCGATAGAAAGGATGGGGCTCTGTGCAGGGCCCCTGTCCCCACCTCCCAGCTGCTCATCACCGTCCATCCAGGTGTGGGCAGAGGGCAGACTGTAACAAGGCCCAACCCCTCCCCCACAACTGCTCCCCTTTTCCCTGGAGTTGCACCCCGTCTTCCGGTGGCCCAGTCCTCTGGCTCATCTCACATTGTCCAGCTCACCTGTGCAGACTCTGAGCCCCAACTGGCGCACAGGCCCTCATGAATCCTTACCTGCAACTAGCAAAGGGTTTCTGGAATTCCTCCGTGCCGGTCAGCCTGTGGCTCCTGGAGACCCACCTCTGTATGCACGACCCCTGCTCTCCCCGCGCCCCCCACGTGCAGAGCCTAGCGCCAGCCTTCTCTGTTCCAGATGCTCTTTTTGAGTGTGGGGGTTAGTACTGGATTAAACTCCCGCCCCTGCTGTGGCCCTGGGCACTTTGTTTCTGTTTGCACACCATTTGGTATCTGGAAGTGTGAAGCCACAGGGCCCTTCACAGCCTTGGGACCCGGCCCAGCCCAGGAAGAAGTGTGGGTGGTCCTCAACCCTACCCCAGGCTTAGCTCCAGAGAGGAGGAAAGCGTGACAGGCCAGGCAGGGAGGAGGCTGCAGGCTGTGGCCTGGGCTTTTGAGTGCGATGGGGGAGGGAGGTGTCCCGGGCAGGTGGGGTCCAGAACTGGCGTCTGGTCGGCTTCTTGGAGGAGGAGAC